ATTACTTAACTCGTTTGAACCTCTGTTATTGTGACATATCTTGACACCCGCGGGTCACCAAGGAAATTTCGTGTTTCGACTAGCGGCTCATCTAAACTACAAATCGTGTTATGACGACATGGTTGAAGTTTGCACGATATATGCTTGAACTTAAATAGCAAAAAAACTCTTCTTGTAACTTAAATAAACAAACTTAAAATGAAAAAAATACTGTGACATAATAAGTAATTAAATCTGCAAACAAAACAAAGCTTGAATTTCAGTTTATTTTCGACCTCGGAAAAATCTTGTGCAGGGGTTGTCAAAGTGTCTTCWTTTCTTCTTCTTTCACAAATTTATGTTTCTAGGCTATTGATAGAAATATTTCTATGAAAATCATTTGATATTGATAAAAAATGTTGTTCGGATTATTTCCTCGCGATCTTTTGTTATTTAAAACCCCTGTGCGAACAAAGTACTTTGTACCCTRAACTTGTCATCGATATCTCTTCTCAGCGTGACATCCTTTGGACAAATTCCCGAACAAGCAAGTCCCAACAATAGACGACTCTGATTGGTCAAAAGCTTCTCGTAACTCACATGACTTCGGATCCCTCAAGGGCGTCRTGAAGGGGTATAAAAGTTGCATTTTTGGTTTTGAGAACATTCAAGTTGAGCTAGCTCTGATTGACCATGCAAGCACTCCTAGTTGTGTTGCTGGCCACTGGAGCCATTGCGGGTAAGTTGTCCTTTCTTTTCCTATAATTTTCTWTATCCCATGCCAATCTTTTATTCATCCAAACAGTTTATACTTCAATTTTCTATATCTATTTTTTGTTCGTTATTGAGCTTTCTAACTCAGTTTCTTGCTGGCATCAGCAAAAAAAWTTTTCTGTGATGTTAGTACCATCGCGAATAACTAGCTCGTTCCTTCTGCATTAATTTCTATAGCGAGTCAAGCATTCCGGCAGTACATTTAGTGAAGTAATACTTTAGTATTTTTCATAGTTGCTAACTATATATTGGAATTTTTTCCCCTCTAACTTTAAATCGTTAGTTTACTTGTTATCTAATTTGGAACAAWTCATTGAATATTTTGACAATCTTCATTATTGATGTTCGGATGCTTTTAAAATACCTTTCTTCAAACAACTCTGAGTTGTCAAATGCTGAAGGGGCGAACATGAAGCTTTTCCATAAACCCTTTTGTAAAAAGACAAAAGACTTTGACCTGTAAGCAAACCATCAAACAATTTGCATTTATCTTTTGTTACATCTCTAGTTGTTGTGCTCCTTTGTTGTTTTCTCCGAAGGGAGCGAAGTTCAGGTCGGAAAGCAAACATAATTTCTAACGACTTGTTTGTTTGTATTTCTCCACAGCACCTTACTACAAGGTTGGCTCGCAGCAGCAAGAATGCTCAAAAAGTAAGTAAACTTTGGAATAAAATAAATCTAGGGCTCAGAATTTTTTTTCTTTGGAGTCACTTGATGCCCGGTAAAATTAGACTGTGACCTTGGAAATAGTTTCAGTATCGAGTGTCACCAAATGACGTGTCTCATCCTCGTGATTTGTTTGTTRCAAAAGAGAACAGGATTTTAATTAGGAGGTCGAAAGGAATTTATCATGCAAGGACAGAATGCGAATGACCCTTCTCAAAAGTATCGTGAAGGCGAGGCTAACATGAAAATACAAGAGAAATCACACCTTTTCTTGATTGGATTTGTTAGATTTTTTTTTTGTGTTTCCATGTCAGCCCCGCATTCAAGATAATTTYAAGAAGGGTGGTTGGAAATTCAAGGTTTTTGAATTTCGATTTTACGCAGCATCCTTTGACGGATTTCCCCTGCCTTCCCGCCGACTGCTATGCTTGGAAAACCAAGAATTAAAATTACTTTGTTCCTAAGTTTCTCTTATTTCTTGAAGGGAAGGGATTAATTAGTCACATGAAGTACACATTTCAATAAAACAATTCGAGGCTTATCTGGGGAAGGAACCATGTACAATTATTAATTGAACGCGGTTAATGTCAAGTGATGTCTTTTTTCTGACATCCGTTGTCATATTTTAAATACAAGAATATATATTCATATGCATCCTTTTTTGATATATAATGCTTTTAAGAAAAGAAATATATATAAAAAGTATATTTATGAGATGGTATCAAGATTTCATGCTTCAACATGAAAGGAAAACCGGAAAGCGATATCGACTGTCACTGTGTGGGATTAGGATATCTATTCTTTGATGATTTAGGAATTTCTCAAGTCGAGTCCCGCTCCGCATCCCGCTGCTACCCACGCAAGTCACAAGACTCTCGCGAATCTCACGCGGATTTCTAATTTTCTTGATTTTTTTTTAGAAAACTTCCGATTCCCCACCGGGAAGGAGCTTACCTACAACTATGTAGGAGAAACCGTTAGCAGTGTGAATGGATCGTCAACTGCTCAGTCGGCGTTGAAAATTAAAGCACGCTGCGTGATCAAGACTATTGGCGCATGTCAACATGTTTTGAAGGTATGTAAGTTCAGCTAATTTTTCTCTTGCGCGTTTCCGGTCATAACTCGTGTGCGCGGGTTACACCATCTTGACCCTTGTAAGGYGGCACTCTTGTGGGAGCATTCTATCTTATCAAAATCCCATTTCATTTTTAACAAATCTAAAAAAAAAAATCGATTTCAATTCAAAAGCTGGTTTGGTCTTGTAGATTTGCTAATCAAGAGCAATTCCATACATGAAGAAATTTTACTAGTAACTTTGGTTGCACAATATTAGAGTTACATGCCCTTGGCCTTGGTAAAACAAGATGGATGGGCAAAGCCCAGTGCGTAATTTRATCTGTTATTTTCAATAAGGGCTACCGCCAGTGACAACTGAGGAATTTTTCTAGAATAAAAGAAATTTGACTATTTTTAAGCAGATGTTTGTCATCAATCTTATCTGTAGGAATTAGWGGTTCTAGGGTTTCCGTCGACATCMMTTGTATATTATATCATTCTTTAYCTCTGTTAAAGGGCAACTAGATTTTTCAGTACCGTTTCGGTGAGACATTTTTAAACTCKAAAAGTCTCCTTTGATCTGAGTTAKCCKTGTCCAGCCCATAGGGKTGTTTCATGCCTGATCTGCATGTAGGTTAGCCGAGCYCTGACTTTGATTAGCCCAGAGGTTCAGGGTTTGATATGACATATGCGTTAGTAGTGCAGTCACTTAGATTGGACCACGGGTTGTTTCAGGGTTCAATCTGTTAGTTAGCCGTTCCMTGACTTAGGTCAGCCTAAAGGTTGTTTCAGGGTATTGATAAAAAAATAATAAAATTGGCTATATACATTTCTTAGATTCCAAGTCTTAGAATTTATCCGCCAGAATTATCTGCTTCAATTTTTACCATATAGTGACTATAAAGTACGWAATTTGAACCAAAATAAGAATGACTTTAATACGGACTAGATTCTATTTAAGTTTCCACCAGTTATATGTTTTACCTTCAAGAGTGGCTTTATTATGTAAAAGAGGTAAATAAGAATTTATCAGCAATATCATCTCGAGGATGATATTTCCGTTCCATAGGTGGCCGGAGTCCTTGTGGGGGTTGCAGATTACGTTACTTGCCACTGCTTGTTCCATCTGATATTTTGACCTTGATCACGAGCTGGCAAGGGGATTAATGCATTCCTTGGTATCTGCAGGGTTTATTTGATTCCCCCAGGGCTTGACCTTGAATTGAACTGTAGTGAAGGGTTGTTGAAGAAAGGGAGACCCGTCTTTGCGTGTCATATCRAAGACTCGAAGATACCTTGGGTGTGTCCTAGGTCGTCAACCAATTTTCATTTTATTCACTTCTTTAACGTGTGAAGATATGTGTAGATGAGAGAATAAATTGCTCACGACCGTAAACATAGCTGGACTACTATATGGATAATATTTGTTTTTATTTTGTTCCGAGTTGTACGATTAAATTTGCTTTGACGAATTAAAGTATTGGAAAA